GGCCAGGGGCATGGCCGACAAGTCTGACACCTCTGATGACATGAATGGGAACCCCACCTGACATCAGCCTCCTTTTCTCTGCCCAACGGCATACAGATAATAGTTCCAAGGCCAATGTCACTTACACACTGAGGGATGACCACAGGCTTGCACGCACACGCTGTGCAGGTGCATACCTCACATACACACACTCAGTGTCACACTACGGCATGTATGATGTATGTGGAGGAAAGGAGACTGCAGCAAAGCACTCAAACTGACCTACATCAGGAGCATGGTGCATCATCCCACACATGTTACATGCATGTGCATGTACACATGCCCATGTGCACTTACACACACACGCCCACAAAAATATATACTTAGCCCTGAAGGAAAGCATGACCTTACTCTCACATGGCAGCACATGATGTCACATATACTAGGCCTACATTTGTAGACATACAAATACTGTAACATTTATACGCAGCCATACTGATTCATGTGTGGAAACACGTAAACCTCGAAAAGACTAAGGAGCACAGAAATACACAAATTAACTTTTTTCAAAGGTTTTCATCTACAAAGCAATTTCTCTTTACTGCTGTAGTTACTTAATTTGCAATGTGGGCATAGAAGAAACACAAGTCTCAAGCACATTACAAATCTAGTGTATATGCTATAACTAAGCCAGGGAGTGTATGTTTTAAAGAAAAATATCTTCTTTTATAATTTATTTGATTTATTTATTTTTTAATCAGCTCAATAACTATTTAAATTAAATAATTTGACAAATTCAAAGTAATTTGACAATAAATACATTTAAATTTTTTTTATAACTTCTAATTTGATCTTGTTTTTAGCCTCCTGTTGAACAAGCAACGAGGTGCAGGAGACAGGATTTTATCATGTAAATGTTAAAAGGCGCCATAAGTTACACAAAATAACATTAGTATTCAGTTCAAATTCAGACATATTCTTGCAGTAGTAACTGCACCTCCTCCTTGCCTCTTATGAGTTATTCTACATCTTTCCAAAAATACTGACTTTCACGTGGGCGTGATTGACAGGAAGAGGGGACGCCCTCTCCCCAAGACATCTCCTGACTGGTATAAAAAATGAACCTTAGGTTATTTTTTGAGTGAGTGGATCATTCAGGAGAGTCGCCTACCTGTCACAGAGACAAACTGCCAAATTCCTGGCATTTAGACAGGTAATCTATGACAATGACTAGACAGGAGCCAATAGACTATTTTAATGATCAGGTATGTTTTTTTTTTCACAAGAGGAAACTAGGCTTTGTTTCAGAACACATGCAATATCTGTACATACATTGCTACCTGTTAGATAGCATGAATACAAACATATCAGGTAAAATCCCTGACTTAGAGAACTACAATACATGGACGAAATATTGCCCCAATAAATGGATTGCTCAGGCTTGTTGGAAATCTATCACTGTTGCTGCAGTTTAAATAGTCTCATGTGGAAGAACAAGCAAACCTTCAATTAAAATTGTCCACCTAAAGTGATGGATGCTGGCATCCTTTGGGCCACTCAGTAACAAGATGCATCATTCCTTCCCAGTATAATTAGAATCAGTTCGGATGGCAGGTATAGCCTTTAGACTCTGAAACCTTGACCTTTAATTATGGCACCTCCATCAGTGGAAATTTGGAAGCTCCAGAGCACACTGCCAAAATGCATAATTCATCTATGGTTAGACAAAATTAGACCTGAAGTGTCTCGGATACAAAGTTTGAAGTAAATGTTTTGACCCTTAATTGTCAAGCAGACCAACTGGGGAAAATAGTGGATTGTTTATTGCAGAATAAAATTAGCTGTGTTATTACGGTATTACCTGAAACTTACATATCTTATCTATACTGCCTGAAATTTAGGGCCTTTGTACTGAACCAGGATCAATATATTAGACAGTTTCCTTTGTGATTTTGTATGCTAGACGATGCAATTAAGAGTTGAGTTCAAGCAGACAAAAAAATTAAAGGAAAGACCTGAATAAACATAACGTAAACAGTGGTTTAATTTTCACCTTAATTAGCAAGACATTGTAAACATACAGTGTAAATATCAATGAAAAACTGCAGGTCTACACATTTACACATTTTTTTCACTTCAATTAGCAGAGGAAATTGGTTTTACTACTAACATGTCTCAGTGTGCTATGACCCATCAACACTGTGCACTGATATATCCTTTTGGGAATGTAATTACAGTATCACTGTGTAGATTAGGGTAGAGACACCACATTGACTTGTTTTACAAATCTGTTATCAGTGCTTAGAAGTCCCTGGAAGTGGTGTCCTCAATTTAATTATTTAACCGCCAATTTGTCATGAAGCTAAATGTTTGACAGGAAATCCAACTGGTCAAAAATAATAAATTAGACCCCTCTCTGGTAGTCTTTAGTGTTAGCAAGGCTAATAGCCATTCACAACACCTGTAAATTATAGCAGCATGTCACTGTCAAGACTTGTATGGCGCTATATGGAGATGGATATAATTATTAAACCAAAGTTTAATCTGAATGTCATATATCAAAAGTACAGATGCAAGGCCACGCACACACACACATACACACATAACATGGCTCTTTAAGACATTTGTTACAGCAGCTTTACCCGTCTCATTGTGTTAATTTTATTTGGACAGTCAGATTGGCTGCTGGCAGATTTAGCTATTCACCACAGTCTGGGGCCATTTTTCAAAACACCAATTACAAGCCTGCATCTCATCGATCAAGGCTACCTATTCACTTGGTGACATAAATTAACTCGTGTCTCTAGACAAAGGTTGGGAGAGACGTAATTGGGCCTAGCATGCATGATGTTACACTCTTTATCCTGCAATTGTATAACGAATACAGCTTTTTATTTGAGGCTGATACATTTCTAATTGTTTGTGTACCTGCAAATTACACTATTGTATTATGATAGCATATTCTCTTTCTTTGTCTGAAGCCAGTGTGCTTGTGCATAAAGGTTTGTGCATGTGAATGCTGTAAATGTCACCCATAGCAGCTCTGGATCTCTTTAATTACCGCTGACAAAGGGTGTTGCGTTCCATTTCTGTCACTGCCTTTGATGGGTGATGTTTATTTCACATACAGTAGGCCGTCGTTTGTGTGTGTGTGCCAGTGTATTAGTTTCTTTACTGAATGTTAGTCCTCCTGCAGTTTAGACTCAACAGTGGGAGTCGGTGTCAAAGTCATATTTCTTCTATTTATACTCACATAAATGCAGTCACGATATGTAGCTGTTTATGAGTGTTACTCAGAGGAGCAAATCTTGGTTGGATGAATTGATTTCTGTTTTGCTGTCTCTTTATAAATTAGCTAAACATGCTGCTGAGGACAAAGGGATGTAAAAGCAGAGGGGCATTTATTTTAAGCAGCGTTATTTATAGTCTTTTACTATCTCGTTTGAAGCGAAATGCTCAACAGCACATGAAAAGAAACGATGGTACTATTGAATTCGATGCGGAGGCTGTGCTTGTGTGTGTGTGGTACTTTTAGTGGTAGGGGGCAGGCCTCAAAATCAGAAGGGGTGGAGGGTGGGGGGTGGTTTGTGGGTGTGTGTGAGTGTTTGCCTCAAGGGTTTTGATCTCGCTCCTCACTAAAGAGAGATGAGTCCATCAGCCACAGATACCCCTTAATTATTCAGGAGGTTAGCATGAAAAATAAATGTCTGCTTCCTGCAGTGAAAGGTGTGATGTTGGTCTGGTTCCTCTGAGTCTTTCGACCAACTGTATGCTCATTCAGAGGCTAGGCTGGGCAATTGATTCCTTTCAGTAATGATTGTGGAAGATCTGGGTCAGGTGAAAACAGTGGTGCTCGTTGACTGATCATATGTTTGAGTGGAAAGCAGTTCAATAGAAATGCTCTTCTAACCTATACCACTTTACTTCTAAGCATTGCACAGGAGGAGGATGAAAATACCAAAAGTAAAACAAAAAAGCAAAAAGGTTGCAAAGTATGTTTTTTTAAATACTAATTTTAGCTTGTTTGCCAGTAAACACTGACATCTAAAAACGGTCTAAATCTTTTTAGATGTCTAGATTATATAAAACAATTTTTCAATAGTATCTAAATGATGAGTGTAGTTAGGACTTGCAATACCTTTACTCATTTCAATTCTGCTGGAACAATGTATAACCTCAACATCTCTTGACCTTGTAATCACAAAATCAATGCTTACTGGGTTTTCATTTAAGTTTAAGTTTCAATTGAATCACAACATTGATTATTTGTCTAACACAATTCTCCAAATCATTTTCATTTTAAAGTGTTTTTCGGTGTTTGATCTAACCATGAATGTGTGTTGTTCCTGAGTTTTATATCCCTTGCTAAGAACTACAGTTAGAGATTAATCAGTTGGCTGGTGAACAGGACAGCAGACTTCAGAGAAATCAAGCTGCACATACAGTTTGACCTCTATTCATCTTTGAGTTGACAGACTCCAGTTAACTATATTGTTTTTCTGTACCAGTATTGCTAAAGTTTCTCCTCATGCACCTGATAATCTTTGAAAAGTTACACATTGTTCCATTTTTGCTGCAGTAGCTCCTCTGAATGTTATTGCCATCAGTGTTATACTGTAAATACATTTACAGCATGTAAATCTGGACCTTCATTGTGTTTTTGCAAAGCTCTATGTGACAGCATGGATCTACGAGGGTAGTTCTCTGAACAATACAGGCTTGTCACACAGTCAGTCAGCTCACTCCCTTGATTAGACTGGAAGCAAGCCAGTTGTCCCTGATGCCATGTCACTTTGTTCTAGGTGATGGCCATTTGGCGTTAGCTGACTTTCCTCCTTTGTCAGTCTTCAGTGCTTCTTACTTCGCCTTTCTTCTCCTGTCGGAGTAATTTGTGGCTCTCTTTGTGTCATTGTCTGGTTTTTCTCTTCATGAGGATTGGCCCTGAAAGAAAGAAAAGGTGGCAATAATAGCTCTGCATAGACTCTAACGTTAGCCCCTTCTCTGGTTCTATCTATTTCCAGGTGGTCCGTCACGTTGGTCCTCCCCTCCATGTGACTGCTGCTGCAAGAACCACAAGGGCGATGGCGAGGGCGAGAGTGGCACCTCCTTCAACGAGCTCTCCACCTCCAGCTCTGAGAGCCAGTCAGAAGCCAGCTCTCCCCAGGGAACTGTCATCTGTGGCCCGGTCAGCCGCCAATCACACACCCACGCCAATGTCCACACCCTGGACAGGCCATTGAAAAAGGGCGCCATCGCAATGGTCCAGCAGTCTGAACAGCGGCGGAAAAGTGACCTGCTGCGCACGCTTACAGCGAGCTCCCGCGACACCAGCACCTGCAAGAAAAGACCGGCGAAAGAGAAGCTGACGGTTGAGGAGGAGCTGGAAAAGTGCATTCAAGACTTCCGCAAGATCAAGATCCCAGAGAGGTTCCCTGAGAGGAAGTACATGTGGCAGGCCGACCTGCTGAGAAAATACCGCCTTTGAGCCAGGAAACAGGACAGAGAGAGCAGACACACGAGGCCAAGGATCAGTTTACATGTTTTTTGATCATGACTTTTGCAACAAAAGAGAGATAACACTAAACTCATTTGAGTCCAGTTTATAGGGGGAAACTTCACCTTTATGCCATGTAGGTTGAGAGTCTACACAGAAGCTAGTAAGAAGCATACAAACCAGACTCTTCTCTTATGACATATGTAGTATGTATGTGTGTGTATGTAGTTTAGGCCTACTGTATGTACTGTAAGTATGTGCTGTACCTTGCTGAATGCTTCAGATCTTTGAATAATGTATCCCTGAGGACCAGTCCAGGTGGACAAAAGACATCCTCTGTGAACTCATCAACCAACCGAAAGACTGCTAATGGCTACACTGGGGGTTACTGAGGGTTACTGGACTGCACACACTGTCATCTGTCATCATTTCACTGAAAAACCACAAAGACAAACACTGATTTAGTATGTGAATGTGTGTGTCTGTGTGTGTGTTTGCACCCAGGTGGCCTAGAGGTCACAGATAAATCTGCATCAGGACCCATTAATAATTCATGCTGTCCCGACAGTGCTCTCACTATAAATACACCTAGAGCTCTCTGCTGCCAGGGTGGCATAAACAGCCAGGTCGATTACTTAACTTTTAGGAAACATTTGGGGACTTCTGAAGCAGGAGGAGGTACAATTTCATCAAAACCACAATTAATTTTCTTCTGGTAATATCAGTTATATTGTAAACGTATCCCAAGTGAATCTAACTGCCCTGCATTGCATTGATTTTTATCGTGTTGGCTAGATGTGGAGCACTACCCAGGTTACTCTGTGAAGGAAAAGAGTGATTTGATAGTCAGACCATGAGGAAATACAGAGCTTCAATAAAGAAAAGTCCACATTTAACACACCTTCACACACACTTATAATGGGAGATTTTGCCAATTGCTTTAATAGAATGAACAGAACATGTCACATGTAAATAATCATTCCCACATACAATCACACAGAAGAATCAATCTTGAGGTTATTTAAATTATGCTCAATTTAACACCTACTGTCAACACATACAGACCTTTTGCTACTTAAGTTAACCCTGTCAACACATAGATTGATGCTTTCTACCCTGACTGTTGACATAGTAATCAATAATTATTGGTCTGGTGATAGAGCTGATAGACGTGGTTCTTGTTTACAGTTATTAATGAAGCCCCTGT